CCGATCACAATTTTCTCCGAATTGGATTGGAACTGGAATCGAAGAGGAGGATGAATAAGAAGCAATTGATCGCGTGATTCCTGAATTGAAGAAGATGATGTGACTTGCCTTCTTGCTCTACATAAGAAATTACCATATTGCGTTTTTTTTTTCTGTTCATAATCTATTGAAAGGGAAATTTGAGTTATCAAAAGAACCGTTTTATTAGAAATCGTTTTTGGATACAAAAATATGACTTCCTTTTTAGTACTTGTTAATTTAACTAATCATACCGATAATAACTAATATTACTCCAAAGCTTTAACAATCAGGTAATCAAGCAAGTAATCAAGTGTTGCTGGCTAAATGTTCCAATACCCAGCTTCTTGTAGCAGCATTCACGAGTTCCGTCGGAGCAGTCTCACGATGTACAAGATACACGAGAAAACCCATAGAAACAATCTCCTCCACCACCATGATCAGATTCGGATCGCTCGAGATAAGCACCAACGGGACTAAATGTTCTAAATCAAGAGACGAACTCTGCATCAGTTGACCAATTCGCACGTCCGTGTACTCTTGGCCTGCTTTTTTACCTGAAACACAATTAAAAAACACAAAACAGTTAAGTTACTTAACTAAATAGAATTGAGCAATTAAAAAACAGTTAACTACTTAACCTAAATAGAATTGACTTATTTAATGTAATATTTTTACTTTTAGATGGTGGGTAGAGGCTGGAAACATCGAAATCACTGCCTTCCATCTCTTGTTTCATCTTTTTGTTCAGAGTCTCAGCCAACGCAATCGAAATGATTCTTCCACAAATCCCTCCATATCCTTCATCTGTTATTAATCTCTCTGTAACAAATCTGATTACCTTGGGCGTTAGACCGGTTGGAAACACCTTTAGCTTTTTTTTTCTTTTGTCGTCGTCCAAGGTACTTGCGACATCAAACAAAACCTAGCACATAAATTAAACTTAAGTCAACACAAAAATGAAGGTTTGAAACACAAAAATGAAGCTTTGAAGCAAATAAACATACCTTTAGTTTTAAGTTCGTCTTTTCAAGAGGAAGTGGAGGGAGTGCTCTCCTCGGAGGAGAAACGCCCAAGTTAGGAGGCATGGCACCAGCGGGAAGAACAGTTCTATATACAGTTGGAAAAGGAAATTTATACGCCACGGCCACATTTGTAACCTCAGAGCTTGAATTCGAAGGGTCATGACCGAGTAGAATTTCGTAGTTATTATCCATCATTTTCTTGATTGTTTCCACATAATCTTTATCGGACGAGATTAGGCAAAGAGGCGCCGGAGGAGGATGAGCTAGCTCATGGAATAACATGTCATATTTCAGCTTAAGGTCTGCATCATCGCCCTTTCCCGCTACAAAAACAGATATTTTGGTGAAGTTTTTCAGTTTCAGAGCAAAAGTATCTTACAAGATATTAAAAGCCAGGAAGGATATAAAATAGATAAGTGTAAGTTACCTGAGTTAGGAGGGACTTCAACGAGTTGTAAGCCATCAACGTCTCTGAATGATGATAAGAAACGCTCAGTAAACCCAGCTCTTGTACAGTAGTAAACCCTTATGGTGTGCACAAGCGAGCTATTGAGTCCATAGATGTGACGTCTAGTGTTCATGAAAGCTTCACAAGGTAAAATTCCAGCAGGAAGTCCTCCGTTTTCAAGATCCACAAGAATCTATAAAGAGAAGTTTATATGATTAATTCACTAGTAATTTCTACACACTATAAGACACAACGAAGAAAATTCAATGATATTGAAATGCAATAACCAAAACTCAATGAAGATAAAGGAAACCTCTGTTGAAGGTGGTGCTTCCGGTGTTGGTTCACGTTCAGGTACTGATTTCTCCCCGATAACACGTTCAGTCAGCACACTTGGAAAGAGTTTCTCAGCTAACCTTTCAAAATTATTTGCACATATCAACGCCCATGGATTTTCCTTCCCCTCCTTACGCAGCACCTCTAGCAATTCTTTAATCGCCTCATTGATTTTAGCTACCTCAATCCCAAGTGGCTTTAGAGCCGTATGTGCTGACTGCCAATCCATTCGCTTGTAGCTCATCTAAAATGCAAAGACAGAACTCAATGTACAAGCAAAAGAAGAAACCCAAAATCAAAACCATATAGTGCCAAATATTTGTAATTACAGTGCCGATAAAGAGTGGATACTCAACGATTTCGATAAATGTGGAGTGATTTTGTTTTCCTTTACAATAAAGTTCACTCCTTTACTAAGAAAAACAAAAAGTTCAGGTTTTTTTCACAAAAAAATTCAAGTTTTGGGACGAAGAGGGTTAACGAAAGACCCATTTCTACAGATTTGTCTAAAAATAAGTTGATTGTGAGCAGATTAGAGCATGAAAACAACAAAACCCAGAAAGAAAAATATGTGAAAAACATCAAAATCGGTTCTTTTTAATTGAGAAGAAACAAGTGAGTCGTAGATGATACTGCATTTACCTTAACGAGCAGAGGGATTCTGATTCTAAAACCCCAGAAGAAGAAAAAATGGAGAAAGCTTTGATTTTTAAGAAACGTTTAGTGAGAGAAAGAGGACGAGACAAAACTCAGGGAGAGAGAGTGCAAAAGCTTCGGGAGCACGCAGAGCTCTCCTGCACACGTCCTTTACAATAAAGTTCACTCCTTTACTAAGAAGAACAAAAAGTTGAGGTTTTTTCAAAAAAAAAAATTCAAGTTTTGGGACGAAGAGGTTAACGAAAGACCCATTTCCACAGATTTGTCTAAAAATAAGTTGCTTGTGAGCAGATTAGAGCATGAAAACAACAAAACCCATAAAGAAAAATATGTGGAAAACATCAAAATCGGTTCTTTTTACTTGAGAAGAAACAAGAGAGTCGTAGATGATACTGCATTTACCTTAACGAGCAGAGGGATTCTGATTCTAAAACCCCAGAAGAAGAAGAAAAACTGGAGAAAGCTTTGATTTTTAAGAAACGTTTAGTGAGGACGAGACAAAACTGAGAGAGAGAGAGTGCAAAACCTTCGGATAGCAGGAAAAAAACCCATCGATTCGGATTTTGGGCCTTTTGTTTTTGCAGGCCAGGCACTAATAATATACGTGAGTGGGCCTTTAGTCGCCTCAGGCCCAAACATATTGAGTGTGTTTTTTACAAGACTTGTGACAAGTTAGAGACAAAAGGTCAACCCTTAATAAAGTCTATCGTCCGATATGCCCCCTTCTCAGACCTAATTTCTCGTTTCTTTTTTTCCTGTCTCCGTCGAAATCATGACTTCTGTACCCCAGAAATTCTGGCGTAAGCTTGCTTTCTCTCTATCGGCCTTTGTACATGAATCATTGTTTCCTTTCGTTTCCTTTCTAATTGCGATTGTTATTTTGGTCTTTGTACATAAATAATTGTTTCTTTTCGTTTCCTTTGTAATTGCGATTGTTATTTTTCTCTTACAACTTGCAGTGGCTAGGACATTCGTCTCATGGGATCTGGAAGATTGCCCAGTCCCTTGTAATCTCACTGCTTGGTCGGTCTATTGTAATATCGTAAAAGCTATCGGTGACATGGGTTACATTGGTTACTTGTATCTATCTGCTTATTCTCTTAAGGACGGACAAGAGTTTGAACAAGAGTTAGAACAAGGGCTTGGTATTAAGCTTGATTCCACCCGCATCAAGATTTTTCGACCAGGTTGGTTAATTCTTTCACTTAACCCTATCAATTTTTGCTGGCTGACATATCCTTTGGTGGTTTCAGAAAGTAGTAGTGCAAAACGTGACAAAATAGTTGAGGACATTCTTGAGTGGAAGGCAAGACATCTCAATGAAGCAACAAATATCTTGGTAATCTCAAGAGATGTCATCTTTCACTACAATCAATACGTCCGCGCTCTTCAACTTGCAAAAGCGTCCGATAACAATATTCTCTTGGCACTTACTATTGAACCATCAATATCGTGGTCTAGCCTATCATCGTTACTTGGTGTTTCAAGATCAGTTTGGGATTGGTCTAAGCTATCAATTAGTGGAGAGAAACCTCTAATTTTGGAAACCGGAAGCTCGGAAGTCTTTTATACTCCATATCCTAACCCGGAACTATGTCTTAACTGTGAGAAGCCGATTCACAAAGGAGCACAAACCAGCATTCCTCAGTGCCGTAAGCTTGCTTTCTCTCTATCTTCTGGATTATATTACCCCTGACTCTAATCAAACTAAAGTTTCATGTGGCAGTGGCTAAGACATCGGTCTTTTGGAATCTGGAAGATTGCCCAGTCCCTTGTAATCTCACTCCTGCGTTGATCTATGATAATATCAAACTAGCTCTCAGTAATATGGGTTACACTGGTGAGATCTCTGTCTCTGCTTATTCCCTTAAGAAGTCTTCTTATTCGCCTAAGAAGGAACTGGACAAGGAACATAAGTTTAAATACGCCGGAATCAAGCTTTTGCAAGCAGGTTAATTCCTAAATTTAAAACCTTTTTTTTTTTGTGTCATATTTATCTGAC